ACAAATTTTTAACAAATTTACCCGCCACCCCACCACTGAACTACCCCACTCAACCCTCCCAGCCCAAGCTCCTAACCCCATGACCATGGACTTTTCTGAATTCACTCTCAAACCAGTTGCATCCGAGAACATTTGTACTGCCCCATCCAAGGTATCCATTGACATCCCCTCCCTACCCAGAACAGTAGTGTCATCAACATACCCTTTTAAGACTAGCCAAACCCTCCCAACTCTACTCCCTTCACCCTCCCCTATTGCATATACGCTTCTCCATCATCCTATAAAAGGGGTCCTGTATGCATGCAAATAAAAGCTGTGACATAGGGCACCCCTGTCGAAGTCCCCTTTCCATTACAATCTTCCCACTCACTCTCCCATTAATCTGTACCCTCGCCATTGCACCGTGATACAAAGCATCTACCCATCCCACTATTTCTTCCCCAAACCCCTGTCCCCTGAGGATGACTCTCAGTGCTTCTCGTTCCACTCTGTCATATGCACCCTGCCAGTCTAAAGCCACCAAACCCCCCTCCCCCCCTTTTGCTTCCACGAAATCCCTTAGTAACCCATGTCCCTCCACCATAGACCTCCCTGGCAACCCAAACTGAGTTCTCGATACTACTCTATCCACTACGCATTTAAACCGATTCCCCAAAATTTTGGCAAACAGCTTATAATCTGAAGATTGAGACACTTATGCAGCATATGGGAATCTTTAGTCAGGAAACGTTTCGCCACACAGTGGCTTCATCAGTCCAATACAAAGAGGAAGGCGTAAGGAGAGGAGTAGAATGAGGTAATCAGTCCCTCAACCTGGAGTCGATGTGTTCAGTCCATCAATCTTGTAGAATGTACAGCATAGGGCCGTAGACGTGGCTTATATACTGTAGTGAGGTGAGGCGAAGCAGGCGGAGGCGGGGTCATAGTGGTACCATCCACTATGACTCCAGGTTGAGGGACTGATTACCTCATTCTACTCCTCTCCTTACGCCTTCCTCTTTGTATTGGACTGATGAAGCCACTGTGTGGCGAAACGTTTCCTGAATAAAGATTCCCATATGCTGCATAAGTGTCTCAATCTTCAACTTGTCGGTTTTTCAAACCATTCATCACAGCTTATAATCTGTGCATAACAACGATATTGCTCGGTAGTCCCTAAGTGTATGCTGCCCCTTACCCTTCGGTACCAATACTACTACAGCTGTTGCTTGCTTCTCTCCCAACTCTCCCCTCATTAGCTCCCAATGCTGTAGATAAAACTCTGCCGGGAGTCCATCGATTCCCGGAGCTTTACCCTTACGCATTTCACTTAAAGTCTTCCATGTTTCTCCCTCAGTTATTTCCCCTCCCAACACTTCCCTATCACTGTTTCCCAACAGACATGTCACATTCTCACACACCTGTTTTAAAACCCCAGCTCCTACCCCATCCCTTTGCCAATACTTTCCATACCACTCGTCCGCAAACACTCCCATTCCATCTGTGGCGTGTAAAACCTGACCCACCCTATACCCACCTACCGGCTCATGAACCTCCAACCATGGAATAGCTGTTGCCTGCTGCCGTTGCTTGTGCCTACGCAATACACACGACGAAGGCCTATCGCCCCATAACACCTCTTCCACACCTGCCATTACCCTCACCGCTTGGAACCTCTCATCTTGTAGCTCGCGCAGCCTCCCCATAAGTGCCAGTATGTCATCCATAGGATAAATACCCGCCACCGCCCCCCTCGCATAACAACCCCTTAACCTGTCCTCCAAATAGTTGGCCAGCCTATATTTTAAAGAATTAATTCGTTTCCCTTCTCTCACGTAATATTGCCTAATTCGTTCTTTAGCCACACCATCCCACCATGTTACCACATCCTCCAACCCATGTACCTCCGGACTTAACCCCTCCCACAGTGTTGTAAATCCCTCCAACCCCTCCTCATCTCCTAACACACTCGTATTTAACTTCCAATAACCCCTATTATTATTATAATCATGGGGGAGTGCTAAACCCGTACGATTATACGGCACCAATAACCCCTCGAGATACCCGCCAGTGACTCCCATCCCACCCTGCCACGACCGCCCTATGATCCGAATAAGCTACCTCTATTGTGTGGAAAAACTTTACCAAAACCCCTTGAGAAATGTACAACCTATCTAACCTAGCCACATAACCCCTCCTCACGAAAGTGTGCTCTACCTCCCACACTCCCCCTCCAACTGCATCCCTCAACTGAATATCCCTCAAGAGGTCTCGTAAGGCCGTCGACACGTGCCCCGCCCCTTTTGGTTCCACATCAGCCCTCCTGATAACACAGTTCCAGTCCTCACCAACAATGGCCACCGCAGGTAAACCACGTAAGAAGAAAACTAGGTCATCACATACAAATTCCTGCTTTACTTTCACATCGTTCTCAGCTGGTGCATAAACACTTACAAAGGTTACCCTCTGCCCCATCCACCACCCATCCACACGCAACACCCTCCCCCCTCACTTTTTATCAACAAACGGGCTCGCCTCCCTGATCAATATACCCACACCACCTTTCAGACGTGCAGATGGCAGAGTCATGACCTGAAACCCCGCCACCTCCAGCTCTCTCCCCTCCTTGAAACTGCGTTCTTGCAGGAACACTACATCCACCCTATATTTACACAGAAACATTCGAAACCATTCCCTCTTCACACTATTACACAGTCCATTTACGTTCACAGTCATACACCTAAGGCCTCTTTATAGTTTCCAACCCTTCCTCCTCTCTTCATTCATCCCAGGGCCTCCTGCCCCAGAGCCAGCACAGGGCTTCACACCACCAACCCCCTATCCTTTCTTACGATGCATCTTATCCTTACTACCTCGACAGTGCTCTTCCTTCCTCCCAGACCTCTGCGCCGGCGTCAGGACATCATCTGAGTCTGACGCCGAAGCTCTCTTCCTCGTGATGCCCTCCACTGCCATGTTGTCTTCTGAGGTTCCCTCACGATGAACCTCAACCTCTACCACGCCCCGTTCCACGGCACACTGCGACATCTCACGCTTACTGCTTGGCCCGTCATCTCTGCTATGGCAATGCCGTGCCTCTCACTAGCTCAGGAACAACATCCTCAGCAGGCGGCGTCAATGTCCTCAACACTTCCTAAAGCTCTTCCTCGAGAGGCTGTACCTCCTCTTGCACTTGCACTTCTGCACTTTTCTCCTGCCTAGTAACAGTTCCTGTTATGTCACAGCTTGCCTCACACACGCCAGTCTCCTCTATGGGATCCTCTACCACTTCACTCCACAAGCGCCCAAGCCCTTGCTTTCGCGTGGGGCTCTCAACAACAGCTACCACACTGGTAGCTGGTGCATCACCAGTTTGTGCAGGCGCCCTCCTCAGCTTTACACACGCTGCCGCCATATGGTCGTACTCCCCACATAACCTGCACGTACGTCTCTGTCCGGCGTACGATACCATAACTTGCGTCCTGAAGTCCTCCAACACGACGTAAGACGGTATGGGATGTCTCACAGTCATCTTCAGGGAAAAAGGTTCCCTCCAGACGGCCCATGTAAGCACCTGCCGTCCACTTGCCCTGTTGTGCCAGATGTACGGTCTCATATGCCTCGAAAACACACCTGAGGTCAGCCTAATCGGCCTCAAATGGGACATTACGAATCTTAACCCACGTAAAGTGGTGAGATATGTCGATCAAACGCACCTTCACAGCGGGAGTAGCATCAAGACTCACGCCTTGGAATCTCGTCACCAAAGACTCGTACACGGACGTGGAATTCAGTTTGACGAAGATTCTGTAAGCCCCATTCAGGGCAACACTATACACCTCATCGTCCTGGATACCATACGTCTCCCTAATGATGGTCGGGAGTAACACCTGCGCTGAAGAGGGTGAAATTGCCCCACGAAGCAGCTCAATACCGATGGTATTTACGCGCCTCCTCACACTCAGTGCCATGTTGATACAAGGTAGCTCGCCTGAAAAAAACGCAGAGGGGTGCAGAGCACAACCGCACTCTATCGTGGTCAGGCAGCGAATTATACAGGAATAAGTCTTCGGAGGACCGATTCATCCAGCGATCCTCTGATTTGTGAAGTGTTGGACTTGTAAGCCAGTGGAAGGCCTCGGTCAAATGACCGAAAGCTCCAGTGGCGGGTCGGGAAACAATTGTGCTGATTCTTGATGAACTTAACCTAACCTTAGGTGTCCCGTAGCTAGAGTGGTAGCTTACACACTGAGGTCCGTGGTTCGATCCCCGTATGGGTGGAAACAGTTGGATGTGTTTCCTTAAGGCACCTGTTGTGTATGCTCACCTAGCAGTTAAATAGGTACCTGAGTGTTAGTGGACTGGTGTGGGTCGCATCCTGGGACAAAACTGACCTAATTTGCGGGAAATGCTCAGCACAACAAGGGACTTTCTATACAGTAGTATGTCACTGATATCAGCTATGGTCTGTATACCTTGTACATAAAGATTGTTGTTATAACCTAACTGAACAGTCTATCCGAATCAGTGCATCACATCAACAATAGACTTTACATTTCAAGTGATTCATCCAATTCTTTGAATCATCTTTGTTGACTCGAACAATTGAACTTAAGCAGTGAGTCATAGTAAGTGGACAATTCAAAGTCCACATTAATCCTTATTTATTGGAAGCTTATTTGATGCTTTTCCACAGCTGAAATTTGGTCTTAGTGACCCTCGTGTAGTCCACAACCTTTACACCTCACATATTTACATTTAGTTTACAGTATATACGTCCACATGACAAATAACTAACACTGGTTATAGAACGGAATAAATTGGGAAATATAGATGAATGGTTTAGAGAACCGACAAGTTGATGAATTAGACACATGTTCAACACTTGTGTATCGTTTCCTCAATAAAGATTCGCAGGTGTTACACATGTGTCTAATTTATCAAGGTGAGAAATAACAAACGTCTTCTATTTAAGGTTTTAATTATAGCATAATTTCGAAGAAATTATAATGGTGGTTCTGTTTACCTGGAGAGAGTTCCTGGGGTCAACGCCCCCGCGGCCCGGTCTGTGACCAGGCCTCCTGGTGGATCAGAGCCTGATCAACCAGGCTGTTACTGTTGGCTGCACGCAAACCAACGTACGAGCCACAGCCCGGCTGGTCAGGAACCGACTTACAAGGAAAAAATATATATTATTGGTCCACAGACCCCTTCATATAAATTGATGCAATTTTTTATTGCAAATTAATAGTATGTTTGATATTCCTGGTTCTTGGTACACGAAATAAAATTTAGCCATACACTGGGGAAGGCCTAAAGGCTGGAATTGGTCTATAGGCTGCGACAGGCGTGTAGGTTGGAGTTGGCCTATAGGCTGGCTGGTAGGTCGGGTACCTGGCTTCTCCCTGGTAGGTGACCTCAGCCAGGTAGCCAGAGTCACCACTGACAGTGTAGGTCACCTGCTGCAGACGACCGTCGGGGAGCTGCACGTAGTACGACCCCTGAGTGTGGTCACCATCACGAGACTCCTGGTGACCGAAGTCGTTACCGGAGGGAGGGTCGTTCACAGCATAGTCGAAGCTGTACCGTGCTGGAGCCTACCAAGGAGAAAATTTACCATAAAGTCAAATTTACGTAAATGCAGAACAATAAAACACAAAAACAATAATAAACTCTTTTAGTAAATACCATAAAAACACAAAGTTTAAATAAATATAAACACAAACATTATTATTATATATAATGGACTGAACACCTCAAAATCTTTAACTCTTCAACTGACTCCACTAAAGTCACCACATTCGACTGAAAAAGTCTTTTTCACAGGCAAAACACTTCAAGAGTAAAGATACCCAAATATTGGGCATGTCTTAGTCATCAAGAATGCCAATATACAATATAAATACGGTGATAGGTGTCCTTTTTCTTATAAATACCTGATAGGACGGTGCTGGCCTGTAGGAGGATGGGAGAGAGTAGCCCAGGCTGGGGAAGCCAGGAGCACCAGCTGCCACCACCACAACACACAAAGCAATAACCACCTGGAACAGTATATGAGATTTTTTGTAATGAATGGTTTGTCTAACCTTTGGACTAAGACCTACTTCGACTAGTGGATGATACCTCTATGACCCCGCCTCCTCCTGCTTCGCCTCACCTCACTACAGTATATAAGCCACGTCTACGGCCCTATGCTGTACATTCTTCAAGATTGATGGACTGAACACATCGACTCCAGGCTGAGGGACTGATTACCTCAAACTCCTCCTCTCCTTACGCCTTTCTACTTTGTATTGGACTGATGAAGCCACTGTGTGGCGAAACGTTTCCTGAATAAAGATTCCCATATGCTGCATAAGTGTCTCATTCTTCATGAGATTTTTCACTTTATGGATATTGTGTTAATGTTCTTAAATACTGAGATCTGATTGTCTATCCAACTGAAAGTTAAGATTTGATTCTCTGTCCAACTATAAGTGGTATCTGATTCTCTATCCAATTTAAAATGAGATGTAATTCTTTATCCAGCTAAAAATGAGATCTGATTCTTTATCCAGCTAAAAATGAGATCTGATTCTTTATCCAACTAAAAATGAGATCTGATTCTTTATCCAACTAAAAATGAGATCTGATTCTTTATCCAGCTAAAAATGAGATCTGATTCTTTATCCAGCTAAAAATGAGATCTGATTCTTTATCCAACTAAAAATGAGATCTGATTCTTTATCCAGCTAAAAATGAGATCTGATTCTTTATCCAACTAAAAATGAGATCTGATTCTTTATCCAGCTAAAAATGAGATCTGATTCTTTATCCAGCTAAAAATGAGATCTGATTCTTTATCCAACTAAAAATGAGATCTGATTCTTTATCCAGCTAAAAATGAGATCTGATTCTTTATCCAGCTAAAAATGAGATCTGATTCTTTATCCAGCTAAAAATGAGATCTGATTCTTTATCCAGCTAAAAATGAGATCTGATTCTTTATCCAACTAAAAATGAGATCTGATTCTTTATCCAGCTAAAAATGAGATCTGATTCTTTATCCAACTAAAAATGAGATCTGATTCTTTATCCAGCTAAAACTGAGATCTGATTCTTTATCCGGCTAAAAATGAGATCTGATTCTTTATCCAACTAAAAATGAGATCTGATTCTTTATCCAGCTAAAAATGAGATCTGATTCCTTATCAAAACATTTGCTTATTTATTTAATTTCTTCAAATTATCTCTTTATGCTTGAGCATAAAATATTAAAAATTACATTAATGAGACTCAGAACCCATTACTAATCCCAATATAAAAAAAAATTCCGTGAGCAGCGTAAAGCGCATTTTTTTTCGCAGTTGGAACAGTCATTTGTTTTTTCCCTCTACATTCTGCCCATTAAACAGAGAGGACGAGCGTCGGGAGAGTGATCTAGTAGCGACCAGTGAAGAGGCCGGGCCAGGAGCTAGGAATCGACCCCTGCAACTTCAACTAGGTGAGTACACACACACACACATTCCTTGATAATGTGAGAAATCACGAAAGCGCTTGGAATTTTACTATTTTTTTCAACAGTGGCTGTTTTGTATACTGTAGTATCATCTGTTTACTGTGACCTTGTTGTATACAAGGCCTTCTGTATGTCCCATATATGTGGATTCCATATATGTGAAGATGAGAAACACAAGGCCGAAAAGTGTGAAAGGCTAAGGCGGTTTGCAGAGAGAAACGTTTTTGAAACATTTCGAGGGAAGAAGCCTAATACACGAGCGAAACGTTTCAATATAATTCCTCTCTACAAACAGATTAGTGATGTATCGGATATCCGCATCCGCATCCGCATCCGCATCCGCATCCGCATCCGCATCCGCATCCGCATCCGCGTCCGCATAACAGCCGCACAATGTCTTACATCCGCATCCACAAAATAAGTAAGATATCCTCATACACATCCGCATCCGCGGATATCTAAATTTTCACATCCGATGCATCTCTGATATGGATGCTATAGCATTTAGATAATTTATATATTGCGTGTTATACGGAGAATATATATGATATAACCCAAGGGAGCGTTGTCATTGTTCTTGTTTGATTTTTGTTTGTTTGTTTGTTTCCGCATCGTAGACATTTGTACAATTTAAGGTGAATTTAATGGACCATGTAAAGTTGTATTTGTTTCTGTTGTTGTACATAAAAATGCGTTGAAATGATTCATGGTTTTGTTTTTGTTAGTGGTCGTGTCTTTGGTACGATCAGCCGAAGAGATCTCAGTCGTGAATGACTTGACTCACGAAATCGTAAAGACACGATTGTAAACGAGCCATACCATGGTTGGGGTTAGAACCCGCTATCAGAGAGTCACAAAACGCGTCGGTCTGGAATTTTGTGACTCTCTAAACGCGGGTTCTAACCCCACCAGTGGTATGGTTTGTGAATGACTTGTGTCGTGTCTTGGGGCTGTGTAGATGAGACGAGTGTCACTTATTAGAAGTCAAGATTAATTAATTTATGTGACGTGCTTAACCGGTGTAGGTTATTAATCCTAAGGAT